GGTGGAAGACCGAGCAAGTTCTCATCTACATGGAAAGCAAATCCGCAATTGCACTCACCAAGGATCAGGTGTCTCACGGAAGAAGCAAGCACATACACAAGCGATATCATTTTATTCGGGAATGTATTGACAGGGAGCTTGTCGAAGTGGAGCATGTAGCGGGTGAGGAGCAAAAGGCGGATATCTTGACTAAGGCATTAGCACGAATCAAGTTTAAGGAAATGAGAAGCTTGATAGGAGTTCAAGATGTAACCAAGACCAACTTGAAGCTTATGAGGGAGAATGTTGGATAAGCTTCTAGAAGACTTGAAGCCCAAGACATCATTAACAAGTCGGTTAATGATAAGATATGCTTAAAGGAAATAGTCTTGTTTTAGTAGAAATGGGAAGAAGGAGTTTTCTATTTCTCATAGGATTAGTAATGGGAATTCTAGTTCTATAAATATGGTTGTTGAGTTGTGACAATCATTGAGAGAAACAAGAGCTTTGTATTTAGTTTTTGAGTTATATTTCTAAATACAAACGAGAGAGTTATTCTTACAAAGCTTAATTGAGAGTGATTTTAGAACTCTTTAATTAAAATCATGAGGTGTGTAAATGTATGTTGAGAAATTAATACCAATAACCTTTTTATGATACCCTCTTTTAAAAATACCCTCTTTTTTTACCATTTTCATTTTTGCCCTCTCTTAAATTTTAATGGCCATTTTAACCCTATTTGAAAGAATATTCTTTCCCAAAGGAAGGAATATTCGTTCCAAAAATTTTCCCACCAAAATTTTCCCGCCAAAAAAATTTCCGACCGCCAAAAATTTTTCCAAGAAAATTTTCCCGCCAAAAACATTTCCGCAAAAAAATTTCCGCAAAAAAAGTATTTTTTCAAAAATTTCCCGCCAAATGTTTTTTAAGGGTTTACAAGATTTTTTAAAGGGTCTTTTAAAGGGTTTACAAGGGTTTTTAAAGGGATTTACAAGAGTTTTTAAATGGTTTTTAAAAGATTTTTAATAGTTTTAAAAGAGTTTTAGAAGCTTACAAAGGTTTTTAAATGGTTTTTAAATGATTTACAATGATTTTTAAAAGTTTTTACAAGTTTATAACAGTTTTAAAAGGACTTACAAGGATTTTAAAAGGATTTAAAAGGATTTACAAGGATTTTTAAAGGATATTAAAATTTTACAAGGATTTTTATAGGTTTTTTAAAAGGATTCACAAGTGTTTTTAAAAGGATTTAAAAGTGTATTTAAAGGCATACAAAGATTTAAAAATAGTTTTAAAGGATTTACAAGAAGTTTTAAAGGGTTTTAGAAGCTTACAAAGGTTTTTGAAGGGTTTACAAACGTTTTTAAAGGTATTACAAGTTCTTTAAAATGGTTTTTAAGGATTTACAAGGGTTTTTAAACGGTTTTAGAAGTTTCCAAAAAAATTTCTTAAATAATTTATCACAGTTATAAGGGGTTCAAAGGGATTTACAAGTGTTTATAAATGTTATAAAATGATTTACAATGGTCTTAAAAACTTTACTCAAAAATTGAAAGGTTTTGGATGACTTTTAAAAGATTTACAAGGGGTTTTAAAAGATTTTTAAGTGATTTAAAAATATTTACAAAGTTTTTTTAAGGAATTGCGGAAATTTTTTGGCGGGAAAAATTTTATCGGAAATTTTTTGGTGGGAAGTTTATTTTTGCGAGAAAATTTTTGCCGAAACTTTTTGGTGGGAAAATTTGGCGGGAAATTTTCGGAAGGAATATTCTTTTTGTTGGAAAGAATATTCCTTTCTTCATCATGGTTTATAATAAAGGAGGTTAATTTAGTCATTTTGTACATTGAAGAGGGTATTTTTAAAAATGTACACCTAGAGAGGGTACTTGTAGAAAATGGTATCATAAAAGGTTAGTTGTGCAAATCCCCCTTGTATGTTAGAGCATTTAGGAATTTATAGAAATATTTTTAATGCGTTAATATATTTTTTTGGCAGAAATATCTTTTAACTTTTAATGTATATTTGAAAACTAAAAAAGAAAACAGTAAATAAGATACTCTTTTTTCCCGAAGTTGTCTATTTGTCTAACCGATTTTTTTTTATTTTATTTTAATAAAACTAACTCCTATTTTCATGGAAGCTTAATAAAAATTATTTGGTGCAAAATATATAAAGTTTATTATTTTTTAAAATTCATAACAACTTTTAAGTTACCTCCCACGATTATAGGAGTTAATTATATTCAAATAAATTTATTTTACAACTAAACATAAATATAGGCTAGTTTTGAAATGTATAAACTTTATATATTTAATTTTCTTAGATAAGGTTATTTAAAAAATATATATATATATATACAGATATAAAATTAACAAGCATATTACATAATTGGTAGAAAAGCATGTTTTAAACAAAAATTTAAATACCATAATTTTATAACTACTAATATATTATATATTGTAACTACATTTATTTAAGAGGAAATATATATATATACCTTTCAGCAGGAAATTATAGAAACAAGAGGTGTAGAGTTGAAGGTTGGATTGTATTTTGAATTCTGTGAAAAGTAAAACACATATGTTAGTGACTAGAAAAATTATAATATACGTAATTTAAAGAAAAATATTACCTTTGGAAAAAAAAGGTTAGAACACGAGAGAAAGAAGAAGTGTGAGGTGTGAGTGTTATATAGAAAAAAAGAAAAGGTGTTTCTTGAGTTATTATTTTATTAAAAAAATAAAAAAAGTAAAAAACACAGATAAAAAAACATCAAAAGAAGCGTGAACAAGTTCCCCCATAGATGTCATGTCTTTTTTACAAAATAGATGAATTGCCTACAACTTTTTCGGTTTTGTTTTTAAAAGATAAAAAATAGTGAATGGTGTATTGGTAACAGGAAATCTACATGCATGGATCGATGCATGGGTCAACTGTTTTTTCATGTCTCCCCATTCAAAGCCATAATCTTGTTCCATTTATGACTTAACCTGGAAACAAACATATAGAAAGTTGATATAGTATGAGACAATACAGCAAACAAAATAATAGTTAACCTATAATCTATATAAACTTCATATAGCAAACAAGACATAAGTACTTAGACAGATAGCAAAGAAGAGTGTTTATATTAAGAGATTAAACACAACTGATTCATTAAGAGATATCAAACAACCCATACATTAACAGATTCTACTAAATCCAAAATATGAATCCAAAATATAATACTTAGATAGTTAAGATACAACACAACTGATACATTAACTGATAATACTTAGACATAAAATACACAGGCTTGCTAGTTAGAACAATAAAGATCAAAGGTAGTTAGAACAGTTCAGCCATTAGCTTCTTCTTAAGCGCAACTTCCTCTTCATCAAGTGGTTGTGTCTTGGCAATGAGAGTGTCAAGAATGGACATCTTTTGGAGTTCTTTCTTGGCCTCATTATCCTTTTGTTTGTTCTCCCAAAGCATGGGATACTCTACAGAAGGTGCAACCTTTTCTTTGCCTCTGAACATTCTGGCTTTCATTGCCTTCACACTTCTTGTAAAGCGTCACGTATATTTGATGAGCATTCTTCCGAATGTCAACATCATTCATTCCACTAGCTATTTCACCCTCTGCAGATGCATATGCTCCACAGAAATGGCTCACCTCCTTGCTGATTCTTCCCCACCTTTGCTTGCAATGGTCAGCCAGCCTTGCTTCACCACCATTCAAGACATGATCACTTGTTGCATAGTAATCTTCAATCCTTTTCCAGAAGGTCCCTGACCTTTGGTCATTGTCAACAATGACATCCTTGGATGTGTTTGATCAAGACAAGATTCATCTGCATTGTTCCATTGCCTTCTCTCCCTAATCACAGTTGGTGTGGCTTGAGATTGAGTTGGAGCTTGATGTTGTTGCTGGCTAAAAGAAGGGATTTGGCTGGCTTGAGATGGTGCACCATGACTCTGTTGCTGGCTAAAAGCAGGGATTTGGCTGGCTTGTGAAGACCCAAAGTTAACATTGGGAGAGAAGCTATCATAAGGAAAGTTATGTAGGCTGAACTATCCGGGAGACCCACCATATGGATTATTATTTGAATCCATAGCAAAAGCTTTTTTGAAAGGAAGAAGCACAACAGAGAGATGATAGAAGATCGATGTCTGAACAAGTAATGAACAAGGCATGTTTACCACCAATAGCTAAAGTTCAACCAGGCCAAAAAATTCGAGAATCAAATCTGCATTGGAAATTGCAATGGAAAAGAAGAAACCAAGAAAACCATACACATGTGGGAATTGCAACCAAGTAGGACATAATCGAAAGACATGTACTTCATAGAATTCATGTTTTTTGTTCCACGTATTTTTAACTTTGAGATGCTTTCTATTTTTATCTACTTTGAGATTGTTTCTATTTTTAATTTTTCTATATATGAAAAAGTTAGGCAGAAATTGTGTTTAAAGTAAGAGACCAAATTAGCTTGTGTCGTAAGTAATCTTCTTCATCATGCTCTTTCTTGACAACGGACACATCCCACATCTGCGTTTATCACTATAAATATCTCGAGAGTAATATTTCATATTACTTCTAAAAAAAATCAAGTTGAGTTGACTCTTAAGTAGTACATGTACATATTTCATATTTATTGTGAAAACAAAGAGAATATAAATCAGTGGATGATCGAACAAGAAGTCAACAACAATGGTTTTATTTTCATCCAAGACAATTTACAGAGACTATAACGTAACCAATTTTAAAAAAAGAACAAGAGAGCTCCGATTTTGAATATGAAGTAAGTGGACTGAAATGATTGATAGGAACCTAAAAAAAATGCTGCATCATCGTCTCCTTCAAGCTATAAACGTATGGACTATATATTTTATATATGTAAGCAGAGTAGAGAATGGTGAGCAAAGTAATTGAACCAGTTAACGTAAGCAAAGACTCTTTCATGGTGAAAAATAAATGTAAGCCTACATACCATATATTCTAGAATCCATTTAAACAAAAGAAATGAAAAATAAACAACTACGAATCATCAAGGTGTGGGATTACAAGGTCTTTAGCTCGAGGATATCCATCAACCATTTGCGGTGTTATGGCTAGGTCTCTCACGTCGTCATATAACTCCACTGCAAGCTTTATCCGGAGAGACGCCATGTTCTCGTCACAAACCCCAACGAATGTTTTATTAAGAACTAAACATTCAATGTACTTTAGAGAGTACATACCACAATCACCATGATTTTCATTCAAAGGGACATTCCTCTTCACTCTTCTCACTTCCAACATTTGTCTACTCTTCTTACGATGTTTCTCAGGAATAGCAACGTTTAACAATGCTGGGATCATTCGCTTGAGAGACAAACACTCAAGAGCCATATTACTGTCACTCACCGTGCTTGGGATGCTATCATAGACATTAATCTTCCCCTGCGGTAAGTCAATATGCAGAGCCACCCAATGGTTTCCATTGACAAACAGACAACCATACAAGTGATCAACATCAATCCACCATACCTTTTTTGTCGCTGTCTCAGTTGGGGCTGTACCGTTTACGTGCTCCAAATAAGATTTATTAAACAAGAAATTTTTTGGAGCCATATCGAACTGCTTGAAATCATTCACCAAAGTCCTGAGAAAGTCTTGATCTATGAATGCTATACGCTCTTTAGGATACAGACAAGGATTAAGCATAGACCTTCTCCTGAACATAGACATTGTAGCACTTATGTGCTACAATTTAAAAGAAAAATGACATGAGCTAATGAGCATAATAACTTATATTTTTGAATAAATCAGACCAAAATATTGTGAATTACTTACATGGTCTTTTAGCCATCCATACTCTGAGTGTGGCCAATGCTCTCTCTTAGCCATTATTTGCCAATAAAATCTCACAGCTACGTTGCTAGTGCTATGTCTTTCTTCCCTGTCAATAAATAATCAGTACATAAATAGGTAGACGATTAAAAAAAAAAGTATAGTTGTAGAATCATACTTATCGAGGTCGAGAAAATCCATAAGTCTATGAAATTTTTTGTCAAGCACATGCTTAAGATGATCACATGCCACATTATCACTCTCTTTAATTATACGCTTCACCGTCGAGTTACCAACATAAGGAAACTTCTGCGACTTAGACAATTGTGCCACTCGTCTTGGATGATTCAGAGGTCCATACAACTTGTCTATCGCATCTTTAAGGGTACTCAAAGTGGCGTCCATATTTTTAGCAGCCAAAGCTTCTTCCTCATTAGACCATGTGTCTTCACTTGTTGCCATTGTCGTTGATCGGCTCAAATTTGCCCTGAGCTACTCTCTCAATTAAGAGATCACTGTAGTACTTAGGGATCGAATCCACAGAGACTCAAAGATTACACAGTAAATATTCGGTATTAAAATTAAGCTAAGCAAGCAGGTTTTAAATCAAATAAAAACAGCAAATTAAAGTAAAGATTGGTTATAAAACAATAATGAGGAAACGCTAGGCCTAGGGATATTCTCAGGAAATTCAGAATTGCAAATAAATAATTGTCAGGATTTATAAAGCACCGTTCTTGAACTCAAATCACAAAAATATAATCAATCAACTTTCGTTGCAAAGACTATCTATGTCTAGAACCCTAAATTCCAAATCTCTTTGCAAATTTATAAGTTTAAGACATGCATTTAATTCAGGTTTGATAAGTTCACAAAATCCCTAAACCAAATCTCTTTGCGAATAGGTATTTTGCTCATCTATATTATTTTCAGGAAATCAATAACACTTTCGTGTCTACCAATTAACCTAAGATCAGATTCTAGGTTGCTTTCACTACTCTAGAACAAATTAACCACAATCTAGATGAAGAACTCTATTGATTCAATCCTAACAATCTAACAACCTAACAATTCATGAATTCCTTTGAAAACCCTAAACCTAACAAGAGATCTACTCAGACATGGTGAATGAAACAAACATCATGAATAAAATAGATATCATAAAAGAAATCAATAGCAGAAGTAAAGGAGTTCTGAATCTTCTCTGAAGGAGATTTTGATTCTTCTCTCCTGACTCTCTACAAATCTCTCTCTCCAAAAATAAAGCTCTCTCTCCAAAAATAAAGCTCCCCTCTTAACAAAACCCTAAAAACTCAATATATATGTCTTAACCACGAACTGGACTTAATTGCAAATAAGGGAAACTTCTGGGCCAAATCTGCAAATCTTCTGAACTTCAATTAAGCGAGAAATTCAATTGCCGTCAGATATTGGTGTCGATCGACACCAGAAGTTGTGGCGCTCGACACTCACACCAAATATGCTTTCCCGGTACATTCCTTCGGCACATCTTCTCCAAATGCTCCCAAATGCTCCAAAAAGCTCCAATCCATGCCAAATAGCTCCTAATCCTGAAATGACTGCAAAAGACTCGAAAACACTATAAAAGCTCTATAAATAAGACTTATATGATGGCCAAAAACCCGTAAAAACCATGATATATCAACTCCCCCAGACTTAGCCTTTGCTTGCCCTCAAGCAAAACAAAAACTTAACCTGTGAAAGAAGTTTGAAAACGCGGGAACTCACTCAACTGTACGAAACTCTTCTTTGCACTCTTCATCGCCTTGACTCTAGAACTTACTTTATGTACTTTGCCTATGAGAAGCATCAACATTCCTTACTCTAATCCCACAATCCTCAGGAATCTCCAGTCTCTCCATTGTCATCTCTTTACATAATTTAAAATAAGTAAAGATGAATTCTTACCGAGGGAATATCGATCAATGGCATATGGACTCTTCTCGAAACAAGACATTCTTCGTATGATTTCACTTCTTCTCCCTTTTCTCACTTCTAAGGTAATCGATATCTCCCTACTTTTCTAGGGTATCATTTTATTTTTTCAACGATTCCTTTTTCTTCTCTTTTTTCTCTTTCTTTTCTGGTTTTTTTATAACTTTTTTTTATTCGGGTATCCATGAGATCCGAAGTATGCACGGGTTTACGCGACATCCCTCATATCACTTCTACCTATAGCCTTTTCCACAGTTTCTTTTAAAGGCTGAAGGGAAGAGAGAAAGAAGGCATCGTACTTTGAAGAAGTGCAGTGTCTTGTGTGGTTCGAAGAAGAAGTCTAATCCAATGTATTCCAACTCCCAAGGTAAGAGAATAAGTCCAATTAAGTCCTGATAAAAGTAGAGACAACGTTAGATCAACTGGATATCCGATGAATAAGGGCTTTCAAGATTGTTGATACAGCTCATAGTCATTCCAAACTTCGGTTCTGAGATCAAGCATAATCAAGAGTCATAAGAGTGTTAATCCAAATCAGAGAAACTGTTAGACTGAGTTCATAGTTCCCAACAAAAATTTTGACTCAATAAAACAAATTCTTTTTGGACTGACTCGATAAAACTCCAAAAGAATAAACAATGTGAGTAACTACCTCCCCCAGACTTAAACAACACTGTCCCCAGTGTTACCAAGTCTAAGATTGGCGAACAAAAGAAAATAAAACAAAAATAAATGCAAAAGAAATAGAAAAAACTCACAAGTGGGTTGCCTCCCACTTAGCGCTTGTTTTCAGTCATTAGCTTGACTTTGTCGGGGTTCATGCATCCGGTTGGTCAGAAAGTGGCACTAAATGCCTCCGAGAATAGTGTCTCATCATCCAAGGTGGTTTATAAGCATTAGGTGTAGGAGATCGACCAAGTACACGAGGAACAGCAGCAGGGCAGAGTCTAGGTATGGGTGGGACACCTCTTCTACCTGCAACATCATCAAAAGAACCAACAAGCGCTCTACGATAGTCTCGTGGCTTGGTTAACTGCAAAACAGTCTTTGTACCTTTGAAAGTCTTATTGATCATATGAGAAGATTTGGGTAAAGAAGTTGCGTACCTTTGCTTTTCTCGAGGTCTCTGGAGTATGGGTGGTGAAGCTTTCCGATTCAGAACAGGGCTCAAGCTTGCAGTAGTAAGATCAACCCGAAAACCATCCATTTTTGGCAAGTTCGGACTGTCGTGGCGAGGGGTGTCGATCGACACTGAGCTTGATGTTTGTGTTTCAGCACTTTTTCTGCAATTTGTCTCAGCGATCCTCATCTCTAGCACAAAAACATCATCTTCCAATAACTTAGCAGTAGCTAGACCCTCGCTCTGGTCCCTAGCAGTAATATCTTCTGAATACTCTATGACTGCCACGTCATCCATGGCTTCCTCTAGAGAAAAAGTCTGGCCATCAATAGTAGGTGCTCTCCTTAACTTGTCCATGTCAAAGTTCATAACCAAATCACCCACATGCAGTCCAATCGTTCCTTTCTGAACATCTATAAGAGCACCAGCGGTAGCCAAGAAAGATCTCCCAAGGATAAGAGGATCCTGAGGTTCTTCGCTATACTTCAAAACCACAAAGTCTGTAGGAATTATGCATTCACCAATCCTTATTAGAACATCCTCTAAAAGACCTTCGGGAATTCTTTTAGACCTATCAGCTAGGATAAGAGAGATCCTAGTAGGCTTGAAATCTGTCAACCCAAGTCTCACAGCAACAGAGTATGGTATCAAGTTGATACCTGAGCCAAGATCACAAAGAGAGTGAGGAAATCTCTCTGTGAAGATAGAGCAGTCTAGCACGAAACTTCCTAGATCAGGTAACTTCTCTGGAATCTTGCTCTGAATCATGGCACTAACTTTTTCAGAAACAAACACTTTCTTCTTCTTCTTCTTCTCTTTCTTACTCTGCAGGGTCTGTTTCAAGAAGATAGCACCCATGTCTCTAGCCAGCAAAGCTCCTTCCTCAGGGCTCACATCATTTAGGACCATCCTCTTAACACACCGCTTAAGCATAGGTGAATCACGATCTGCATGATCTAAATGAATCTCATTGATCACCTTTTCCATCATTGCCTTGCATCGAGATTCCTCTATCTCCTGTTTAGACTTCCTAGGCTTTGGAAAAGGAACCTTAGGCTTGTAGATATTTTCTGTAGATAGTCGCAGAAGGCGGTGAAGCTGAAATTGGTTATGTCCGAGAACGGTGTCGATCGACGCAAGTGTGGTGTCGGTCGACACTAGTCTTTGGTGTCGAGAGTTGTGTATCGATCTCGGTCGATATCTCTCCGTCAGAAACGTGTGGTGTCGAACGACACCCATGGTTGGTGTCGAGCGACACCTCCTGCGGATCGACAGAATCTGCATCTTCAATCCCATCAAGCTCAATGACATCTTCTACTGTCAAACCTGGTTTCAACACTGATTTGAGCTGTTTTCCACTCCTCAAGGTCACTGCATTGCAAGGATGTTTAGGATTGGCATCGGTCTTTCCAGGGAGAAAACCTGGTTGTCGGTTCGGGTTTGCCTGAGTAAACTGATAGTCCAACTTCTTGGTGTGGTTAATCAAGGCTTCTATCTTACCATTCAAATCAGTGTATAGAGCATCCATCTTCCCATTAAAGTCTACTGTCATCTTCTGCTGTCCTTCTAGAATCTGTTCAAGCATAGACTTCATCTCAGTTTCTGAAGATTTCGGTGGAGTTGGTTGGTAAGATGAGTTCCCATAGCTCCTTGTGAAGCCATTGCTCTTCTGATAATCAGGTCGTGGAGTGTAACCAGAGGAATTCTGATTTCCTGTGTAAGTGCTCTTCTGACCATACCCGCTGTTGAACCGGTTTCCTTGTACGTTACTAAACTTCTGACCCTGATACCCAGCACCATTAACGTAGTTCACGTCTTCTTCTTCATCCTATTCTGGTTCAAAAGCCTCAACTTCAGCAGCAAACTTAACATTCTTCTTATTAACAAGAAGGTGATGCACAGAATCAAGTTTCGCCTTGACTTCAGCAAGTTGAAGTCCCTCCATGTTTTCAGCTAGCTTCTTTCTCTCAAAATCAGCAACCTTGGTACTATTGCCGGAAGCTAAGTTCTCGATCAGCTTGGTGGCTTGAGCTGGAGACCGTGTGTTGTAGTTACCGTTGCTAGCAGCATCTAAAGCCATCTGATACCTCCAATGCAATCCTCTGTAGAAAATGCCCAAAAGCTGAAATTTGTCGTATCCATGGTGGGGACAATCTCTCTGATACCCCTTAAAGCGCACCCAAGCAGCCTTGAATGTCTCAGAGATTTCCTTGAGAGAAAGTAGAAATCTTGTTCCTCAGATCCTCGGACCTTGCATCATCATAAAAGTTGTTCAAGAACGCAACTTTCACATCCTACCAGCACGTAAGAGATGCAGGCTTCAACTCCTTGAGCCATGATAGTGCTTCTCCAGCTAAAGAGTGCTGGAAAAGCTTGCAGAGCAGGAAATCCGAAGATACACCATCAGCCTTGATGCTAGATACTAGATCTTCAAACTTCTCAATATGGTCCATCGGGTGCTCATGAGTGTGCCCATGGAAAGGGTGTTGTCCTACAAGAGTGTAGTAACCAGGCTTCAACTCAAAGTTGTTTCTTTGAAATGCAGGAGGACGTATAGCAGAGCGGTTAGAATAGAACAGAGCAGACATGTTGTATTCTCCAAGTGTACGGTTCTCATCTTCTACTTCAGCATTCAACGCCAACTCTGCATTGTCAGCTACGGCGTGGTGTCGATCCACACCAACCAGGTGTCGCTCGACACAAACGGCGACTGGTTCAGGAATTACAGTCCCCGTCAGCATTCAGCTTCTGCCCTTGTGCATTCCTCACATGGCCATCTCCATCTCTGAGAGTACCCTCAGCATCTTGAATTAGAATCACTGGTGGTGCCATTGCTGCCCTTTTCTTAGCTTTTCGAATTCCTCTTTCTAAACCCGCTATTTCTTAATTGTTGAGATCAACTAACTCTTTGTTCTGCTGGCTTCTGGTATTAGCCATAAACCTGAAACACCAAAAAGAAAAGAGAAAAGAAAAACGTAAGTAACAGAATAAAATTAAAAACTTAGACTAAACTTTTAACCTAAATCTAATGGCAATCAGAATTAAGTCCCCGGCAGCGGCGCCAAAATTTGATCGGCTCAAATTTGCCCTGAGCTACTCTCTCAATTAAGAGATCACTGTAGTGCTTAGGTATCGAATCCACAGAGACTCAACGATTACACAATAAATATTCGGTATTAAATTAAGCTAAACAAGCAAGGTTTTATATTAAAAACAGCAAATTAAAATAAAGATTAAGTTTTAAAACAATATGAGAAAACGCTAGGCTCGGGGATTCTCAGTAATCAATCAAATTAAATAAATTAATAAATTAGGATTCAGATTAAGCGTCGTTCTTGAACTCAAATCACTCATGTAAAATCTACCAGCTTTCGCTGCGATGATTATCTAAATTTAAAACTAAAACTCCATATTTCTTTGCTAAATTGTAAAATTTTAAACCAGCACTAACATTCAAGTTTGATATGCTCACAAAATCCTTAAACCAAATCTCTTTGCGAATAAGTATTTTGCTCACCCTAGGTTCTTTCAAGTAATTAATCACACTCTCATGTCAAATTAATTGACCTAAGATCTAGACTTTAGGTGATCAATCT